ATGGGAAACAAAACGTGAGCACCAGGAGGTAGTAAAACAGTTAAAAGTTTTAATAAAACATTAAAAACCTTTAAAAGAATATTAAAAAGGACCTAGCTTTCGTTGGATCCTACCAACATCGTCAGGGTACAGAATAACTCAATGGGAGAAACCATTTATAGGCCAGCCAACGCCTGCGCCCGGGCCCTACATCTCGTGACGGGTCCTGGATAGCCAATCGATGTATGCCCCTCATCACTCTCTTTAACTACCCTTGCATTACCACTCACGCCCCCATTCCTCCGTGTCCGTGCACCATGAGGGCGCCTAGCCTCACCTGGCACACAAGTGCCATCCAGTTGTCCCCTCTTCTGCTCCTTGGGGTGCCCCCTACAGCCCTCCCCCCTTCCTTCCTTACCGCTGTCACACCCGTTTGCACGGGGCTCCACCACGGGCATAACATCTTCAGGCTACACGTGTTACCCTCCCGTACGTCAGTAATGTTTCAGAGGCCACGGCTAGGTTGCTGGCACCTTATAAGATCAGGGTGGCGCATAAACCTAGCCGGACATTGCGCTCGTGCCTCATGAGACCTAAAGACCCACTCCCCACGGCAGAGAAATCTGGAGTGGTCTACAGAATCAACTGTGAGGGCTGCTCCAATAGCTACGTGGGTGAGACTTCCAAAAGGGTTAAAACGAGAATTCAAGAGCACAAATTGGCCATAAAAAGAGGGGAGCAATATTCTCAGATCTTTACCCATATGGTAGAGTCTGGGCATAGGTTTAACTTTGATGCTGTGGAGGTGATTGCCAATGATACCACCTAAGGTGGCAGGCTACTTAAGGAGGCCTGGTTGTCGCGCGAGGAGTCCATTAACCGGCATATAGACCTGTGCCCTGCGTATCTAATGTTAAGGACGTGGGAGACAGGCAAGCAGCCGATATGGACTAACCGCAATAAGAACGGTGACCCTGCCCCTCCTCCCCCAATCGGAAGGGACAATGCCCGAAAAAGGAACAGTGGCCTACGAACCGATACCCCCCCGGCTGCGGATGCTGGAGTGAGGCCGGTGCAGGCGTCGGAGCCTATGAATACTAGGAGCTCGGTAGCTGTTGCACTGGATATCACCTGGCACCATGAGAGGAGTTTGGGGGAAGAAAAGGAGAGCGTGCGATTGGGGATGCAGCGTTGTTGCTCTTTGGAGAGTTGCGTCGACTCCAACGCTATGGGGGTCGCTACGACTGTGGACCCTTGCAGTCGCACATCGGGAGCGCAACCTCACATGTGGGGAGCATGGGAGGTGAGGCATAAGAATGAGGACGAGTTAATACAGCGACCCGGATCCCCACCGCACACGATCCACCCGCCGTACCCAAAAGGGATTTCCCTGCTGGGAGGCGTACGGAAGAAAGGTAGCCTGGGACTCCCTCGGCTGGAGGTGGCTATGTGTGCCCGAGAGTTGCCTCAGGGAGAGACGGAGGATGGGAGGGCGACTCTGGGGTTGCGAACCAGGGGGAGCCAGATGGGAGAAAGCAGCAAGGGAGATCGACCGGATGGAGCGTGGAAACTCCCACCCCCGCACGCACTTAGCATTAGCGAAATGGAGGGTGGAGATATGACCTCTGGGTTACACCCCGAGCCAGATTGGACGAGGGTGAACAACAAGGAGAGGAGACGATCGAATGGGGTGCGGAAGCAGCCCCTGTACACGTCCAACGTTTACACGACCGCACAACAGGTGTTGTCTCCTGGGTTGCAGCCCGAGTCGAACCAGATGGAGGATAATGAGGAGAGAGGACGATCGCATGGAATGCGGAAGCAGTCTCCGTGCATACCCGATGTTGATACGATCGTACTACAAACATTGCGGAACGGGGTGGACTATGGGATGGAGGAGGTGGGAAGGAAGGGGATAAGTGCGGCGAATGACACGGATAATGATGGCCCTATGGGAGTTGAACGGAAAGAGGGATTTGAGGACGGGGTCGAAGACCTTATGCCTGTAGTGGAGCCCCGTGCAAACGGGTGTGACAGCGGTAAGGAAGGAAGGGGGGAGGGCCGTAGGGGGCACCCCAAGGAGCAGAAGAGGGGACAACTGGATGGCACTTGTGTGCCAGGTGAGGCTAGGCGCCCTCATGGTGCACGGACACGGAGGAATGGGGGCGTGAGTGGTAATGCAAGGGTGGTTAAAGAGAGTGATGAGGGGCATACATCGATTGGCTATCCAGGACCCGTCACGAGATGTAGGGCCCGGGCGCAGGCGTTGGCTGGCCTATAAATGGTTTCTCCCATTGAGTTATTCTGTACCCTGACGATGTTGGTAGGATCCAACGAAAGCTAGGTCCTTTTTAATATTCTTTTAAAGGTTTTTAATGTTTTATTAAAACTTTTAACTGTTTTACTACCTCCTGGTGCTCACGTTTTGTTTCCCATACATACATATATATAATTTAATTTTTCCAGGTACTGGCATCGATCGTTGAACCCCAGAAAATTGGTAGAAGTGAAATTTTCTCACTTGAGCAGAAATATGACATTACAGAGAACAATGAAGCTCTACAGACTTCCTGATGTAAGCAATGCGTCCACCCAGAGGACCCTCATTCTCACAACAAAATAGCCTTCTGTCCCTGCCAAGGCAAGCTTTCCATTTGGGGGAGGCTGTACTGTGCAAAAGGGGAAGGGATACAATGGTTGTGGGGCGGAACCTCCAAAGGATAGACTTTCCTGGAAAGAGGAGTTGCGTATGTAGGCACGCCTGGCATTAGAAGACATTTTTTGTAAAGGTGTGGATGGAGGAAAAGTACTATTTTCTTGAATATATGAAACTTGAAAAATTAAGATTTATGTCCTTATTCCAATATACTGTTTTTTTTGAGCTCTAAGTAAGATCTTGAGGAGAAGGAGATAAAAATCTCTCGGGTACCAATGGAAAGTATTTGGTACTAATGATGAATTCTAAGGGAAAAAAGCATGATATAGTTGAATTCTCTTAGTGCAGAGGAATTCCTTTGATAAACACACATGCAGACACACACGCAGACACACACACACACCCACACACCCACACACACAGAGTGAGAGAGAGAGAGACCAGTTTATAATTGATTGTGCTCTTTACAATGTAATAATAGTTGAGAAGAATAGAAGTGTGCGCAAAACACTGCTTTTGTGCCAGTTGAGTATGTACATTAAGCTTCCAGAAATGCTGGCTGAGAAAAGTTTGGAATTGTAGTCCCAATACTTCTTGATTGTTGCCTCTGGCTGAATACTTTCCTGTTGATGAAAGCCTACGTGGGGTATTAGCTCTTTGAATTTCTGTCTTCTTTCATTATAATAAGGCCACAAAAACCTCAGGCTTGAGACCTATGGAACGAAAAGATATCAAAGCAGTGCAAGAGTTGATTAACAATTACTTGAAGCAGTTCAATCTCGCTCCTGTTATGGACGAAGAAGAAGTGGCTCACTGGTTCCTGCCTCAGGATCATATTATTGACACCTTTGTGGTAGAGGTGAGAGAGAGGCCCCTCCCAGCTTCCTTTTCCTACCGAAACCCCTTCCATCTGGCAACTTTTCCTCTGCTGTTTTCTTTCTAATGGATGAGGTTTCTGTGCTTGAAAGGAGGGCTAATACATATGTAAACTAATTTGGGCCAAAATCTGTTTTGTAATTTTTGAAAAATTGTCTTTCCCCACAACCGGAGGCTTCATCTTTTTTTTTTTTCCTCTTGGAAATGTTCCTGAGGAAATGTTCCTTTTTATTGTTGGGGGCGATGGAAGATATTACATTATTGTTGGTGATGTTGCCATTTCCAGTTAAGCACTTTCTTTTCATTCTGATGCCCATAATCCCTTCACACTGGGATGGGAGAGTGGATAAAAGAAATATTTATCACTGAAGGAACTAGAGCATTGGTCAGAACATCAGAAGGGTACCCCAGGCTCAGGAAGATCTGAGTTAAAGTGTTCAGCTAAAACTGGATGGACTCAGGTTCCTTGTTCTGCCTCACCATTTTACACTGAATTACTACAACCTGTAATTTTGCAGACCCACTGGGTGGCTTAAGAGTTATAATGCCGTAGAGTCCTTTGTTTGCATTCCTTCAAGTTCTTTCCTTTTCTTTTCCAGAATTCAAATGGTGTTTTAACTGACTTTCTGAGTTTCTATACATTACCTTCAACAGTCATGCACCACCCTGCTCATAAAAGCCTCAAAGCAGCCTATTCCTTCTATAATGTTCACACAGAGACCCCTCTCTTGGATCTAATGAATGACGCACTCATTATAGCAAAGATGGTAGGTAATGCAATAGCTGCTTTATTTTCCTTTTTTTTTTTTTTTTTTTTTTACAGAAGATTGAAGTTGGCTTAAAGCCTCACTGATTTATTTGCTTCAGCAAGAGAAGTACAACCTCTAAACAAGTTGCGATAATGTTTTCTTTGCCCATTGGAACTTTCTGTTTCAGCCTAGACCTCAATAAGAAAATGTTAAAAAGCACAGCCTCTGCTTATTCAAAACTCCTGTGCTTGCCTTACAGCCCCAGATGACTTTGGGGTTGCACTTGGCACTTCTAAATCAAAGCTTCATAACTGGGCTTCCTTCTTCAGTTACAAGAAATGAAAAGTCATTGTCAAATATGACTTCTATGACCTACTGTAGGAACGTAGCGGAGAAAAAGGTTTGTCTGTGTTGTGTATGCATTGTGTGCATTACACAAGGTTACTAATGCTGTTAAGATTTTCAGGTTCTAAGTTGTAAACGTACAGAGTACTATGTTGGTTTGATTGCAATTTTTGAGCTTTAGTGTGTATATCGTTGCACTCTATATTTTCTTGGATTGTGTTGATGTTCAGTGTGCTGAGTAAACTCATTGCTAAAAATACAAAACATTGCTGATTTATTGAGTTTGTTGAATGCAGACATAGCTGTCTTAGTATAATGTTTGGAATGTTCTTGGTTTTTGATTGCAGTTAACACTACTCATGCAGCTGCTTCAGTTTCATTTGAAAATTACACTTACTACAAACAGCACAAAGAAAAGCATGTTCAATTGGCTGCTTTCATTCCTTGCTATGGGGTGTAGCGGAAGATTTTTTCCTTTTTTTCAAAAAGGCATTCTCTTGTTTCATTTTTCATAGGTTAGAAGAATCAGCACCACACTTAATAGTAATACCACTTAGACTTGTATATACTGCCCCTTAGTGCTTTTACAGCACTCTGAGTGGTTTACAAAAGTCAGCATATTGCTCCCAAAAATCTGGGTTCTCATTTTATCGATCTTGGAAGGATGGAAGGCTGAGTCAACCTTGAGTCATTCAGTATCGAACTCCTGGTTATGGGCAGAGTTAATCTGCAATACTGCATTCTAACACTGTAACTTGTGGTTTCAGAATCTTTTGTTTCATATGCATATAGTTAAAAGTAAAATTGGGTATAAAGTCCCTTCCAGTTGTATCTTTTATCCATGTTAAGGTAGTATCTTATTGTAATTAGAATTCGAGTAGGTAGGGTCAAGCTATGGTGTGTTCAAAGCAATTTGTAGTGTAGTTAATTATAGAAATAGATGCCTGTCATGCAGAATGCTTGATAGATTGCGGAGTTTTTTTCTAAATAAAATCTTTTAACAACCTTTAAGTAAACCCAATTAGAAAATCAATGTATAACATCTTTATGTTGCCAGAAAGGATTCGATGTGTTTAATGCACTAGACTTGATGGAAAACAAAACATTCCTGGAAAAACTGAAATTTGGTATTGGAGATGGCAATCTGCAGTATTATTTGTATAACTGGAGATGTCCTGGCATGGATTCTGAAAAGGTAACATATTTATACCAGAGATTTGATTGTCCTTCCTATGCTTCTGGAGATAACAATAGTAATCAATCCTTCCGGAAAATATGGTGGTTGAGAAAGCTGATGTCCTTTACATCAGTAATGTCCTTTACAGAGATTCTCTTTATCTTTATTTATGTAATGATATGAAATGTACTGAGTGGTTCCTTTAATAGCAGTGTTTGTGTGTGCCTGCCTATCTTCCCTCTATATTTGGGATTACCCATACTGTGTTAGTAAAGTCTTCTCTTGATGGATTTTGCATCATTGGGAAACTGGCATGCTACAAAACACCACCTTTTAGCATTACCTTCATTTTCAAAAATGCTTCTGGCCCTAAGTACAGAATTGGACAATTTGCCATGGCCAACACGCCACGGTCAATTACCATGGGACAACTCACAGCAGGACAATTCAACAAATGCAGGTTAAATTAATTTCAACAGAACTATGGCCGATAATAATAATAATAAAATAAAGTCAATCCAGAAATACAAGAGTTACAATAATTTTGACAAAAAAGTGGTCACTAAAAGTAATTGAATGAAACGAGCAACGCAGCATTGAATTGTCCCACAGCGAATTGGTAGTGGTGATCTGGCCACGGCGAATTGGCCGCAACAAATTATCCTAGATCCCCCCCCTTAAGTAGGCATAGGCTCACTGCATACAGCTCCCCCAAAATTCTCCATCTGGAGTTAGAAGTGAGAATTGGGGGCAAATAGAAAATGTGATTTAATATTTTATAACTGCCCATACTCGTAATAACTGTTGTTTTGGCCAGTAGACAAGATTCTTCTGTGCCAATACTTCCTTGTGAGAGTGCTTATAATGTTCCAAGTGCCACACTATCCTCTAAGCATGAAGGACTTTGGTTTTTTTCTGCAGTAACACCAATGTTATCATTTTTCTAGGTTGGTCTTGTATTACAATAAGGTGAAAGGACACTTATATTTATAATCCTTGGAAGTCATCATCTGGGCTGTTGGATGCTCTTGGATCCGTACAGTTCAAGAGGAGCCAAAGCACAATGCCTGTTGAACTTAAATCAATCAGTCAAACCTTGGGGGGGGGGGAGGGCTACAAAAAGAAGAAGTAAAGATTTCTGAGCTCAACTAGCCCTTCAACCCTGAATAGGAACAAAAATGCTTATGAACCTTTTACTGTTTGTCAATGAAAAGAAATAAAGCACATTTGTTTAATTTTAAATGCTTAGCTCGCATCTTGATGCAAAGGATACTTTTAACTGTTTCCCTGCATAAAAATAAAAAAGATTTTTTTTGTACAACAATGAAGTTGCAGTGGTGGAATAGAGTACAAATACTTTACTGTAACGTGATTGAACTACTGCATTTCTATTTATTAAGTGGTAGTGTATGTTTATCAATGTAATGAAATGAAGGAATCAATTTTGAGTGTTTCTGCTTGTTTTCATGACATGGATGTCATCATTGCCAAGAAAAAAGCCTTGGGAATATGTTTGCTAGGAAAACATGCAGATATTGGATGTCTTTTGTAATGTGGAGTGGAACAGAAATGTGCTGGTTGGACTAGTCCAGGGGTAGGCAACCTTGGCTCTTTTATGACTCATGGACTTCAACTCCCAGAATTCCTGAGCCAGCAAAGCTGGCTCAGGAATTCTGGGAATTGAAGTCCATGAGTCATAAAAGAGCCAAGGTTGCCTACCCCTGGACTAGTACATGTTTCTCCATAAACAATGCTGCCAAATCAATAAAAATACAAATTTGTAAGTTGATCTTCAATAGATCAGTGACTTGATTATAGCATAGCACTGCTAAATGCACGTGTTAATATCTTCCCTGAGCTATAGTATTCTTTTCATCTTATAGTTCTGAAAAAGAAAATTTTACACTGTTTTTGATGTAACAGTAGCCTGCAAATGAAACTGAGAATATTAGTACTATTACGAAGATGTGTTAAGATGAATGTGTTTTAAGGCTTTTGCAGAATTGCACATATTCCTTTTGTCTACTTGGTTTTTTTAAGAAAACATTTTAAACTGAAAAATATGTTTGTGTAACTAAGTAAATTTGTTGCTAGTAGTAGCAATATAATTCTGGTTTGGGGGAAGAGGTGTTTCATAGTACACATTTGTATATGTCCTTGCAAATACATTTTTGTTGGCAGCAATATGTGCCAAACTGTCTTGGTTCATATCTTATGGTAAACCTTAATATGGTTTTGTTTGGCTTAATGTGTCATGCGAATACAACCTACCATAAGTTCTTTAACAAATGATAATTTAGCAAAATGCATGAACCAAGTCAAGGTATCTGTTTCCCTTTGGATTAATAGAGTTTAGTTTAGAATATGTTAAAGCACTGCATATGCATCCAGATTTTCACAATTGTTTATATATAGATTTGTCAACTGTTTTTATACATCATAATAAGCCATGTTTGTTGAAAAACTATAGTCAGTTTGTAGACAACAAAAATATTCTTTTGGACAATTTTTGAGGCATTTTTGTTTTATTTATTTTAAGCGTTAATTATTTGCCCTTCTCCAACTGGCATTTTACCAATGCATCGGACTGCAACTTCTACAATCTTCCCATCAATAAATGCAATAGCCTCATTTGAACATAATGCAAAGCCATGATGCCATTTGTTAGGTTTTTGGCTGAGTATGATATGTCAGTCCACATAGGGTGGCTTGACATGCTGTGGGAGCTGATCATCTAAATTTTGATATTTATTGAATATTTATTGTTTTTCCACATTTCAAAATATCTTTTTCCATCCCATTTTTGAAAACTGGGGTGGGGGAGTTGTAGATGTTTAACAGTGAGTGACCTGAACATCTTTTCAAAATAGATTCATCAAGTACAATATTGCTGGAGAAAAGCGTTACCAAGATTTGATTCTAATTTATCAAAAACCTTGGTAGATAGTATAACAAGCAGTTTAACCAAATAGCTGAAACCATATTTGTACATTTCCAAATGTGGAAATTTTCAAAGAGGTTCCAATAGCTTAGCTTAGAATGAATATATGTTTTTGTTGTTCCTAAATCAAAAACTGCTAATTTGGTTGCTAAATCTCGAACTTGTACTCTTTTCCTAGTGTTAGATAGCAAATGGGGGAAGGAACTCTTGTACATTTTTCCCCAAAATCTGATATTGCAAACAAACCAGGAATTAAAATTTGAAATGTTGCCAGAAACTCCCAATCTAGCACTAATCCTGGATTTTGCATTAGTTGCAAAATCTGCTTAAAAGTAACTTACCCCTTGTTAATGGACATAGTTCTATACTTTCTATCCTGTTTCTCCTTCCAATTTTCCTGTTTCTACAGCCTGTACTATAGCAGTTTAATGAAGTAAATTTAGTCTGAACAATTATTTTAATTATGCAACCAGGACCATCTGAATATGATAAGACTGTGTCCTCCTCTTAGAAATCTGCTTCTTTGGACCAGTGCACCTCACAAGCTGTTAATCCAAAAGCCTCAAGTCTCTAACGCCTCTCTATCTTAGTGCAGGGAACTGATCTGATATGCTAAAGAAAGTACTTGTATTATTAAAAGCAAAATGCATCTATGCTCAGTTCTGCATGTCCTACTCACAACCGTTTTAAGAAAAATATTAAACAGAAAAAAGCTGTGCTTTCAAATATGCAGCTGTTTTCAGTTAACAGCATCTTAACAGTCCTTGAATTTTATTGGCACCAATGAATGTTTGAATAAATGTAAACTTTCATACTATTTTGTTTTGAATAATTATGTTTAACCTAAAATATTAGTTGCTTCAAAAACCAATACATTTTGTTTAAAATGATCCATACATCCCTAGACTGGGGAAGATGGACATTGTAACCCAAAATATCTGGAGAGCACCAGATTAGGAAAGGCCATCCTAATTAATTGTAGAAGGCACCATGAACTGAGTATGATTTTTACCCCACATCATGTACTACGGCTAGCTTTTTAATTTCACCTTAAGGTTACCAACATCACTAAAAACAAATTTTATATATACATTTACAAACTTGCAAAATACATACATATTTCTATGCTTTATCTACCTGCAGAAGCCATATTCCAAAAACGTATAGTCAGGATAAAAAAGTTATATTTATTGAATTCATAATCCTAATAAAAATCATCTGGAATAATAGGCTATTTATATAATAATTTATATAAAATATTTTTCTGCTGGTGTACATGAACACATTTTCCTTGTTTCTTCTAGCAGCAGAAGAAATTCACTGGCTGGAAATTGGTTAAGGAAAAGCCGAAGAAAAGTATAAAAATGAAAAATGAAAAAAAATAAGGGGAAGAGATAATAGAGAATGGAAGAAAAGGAATTTTTGTTAGGCATTGTATTCATTGGTTAAGCAACCTCTTCTAGATAAATACAGCTTTTTTTAAAAAAAAACCAATACAAAACTAATTTGGAAAAAAATGCTTTTATTCAGTGATATGACATTATTATACATAACTTAGGCAGATGGAAATCAAAAATGTAGGGAAGAAATCTCAATGTTGCTTTGAAATACGTTTTTTAGTTTTGGGAAGCTTGCGGCATTTTTTTGGATTGGGAACTACATTTTTAACTTTCAGTGTCTGCAGAGCTATGGTAGGGGAAGCAAGTGGTCTGTTATCTGCTAATTTCCGCTTGTGACTAAAAGAGCTCCCTACTGGGGTAGAATCAGTGAATTCGGCAGCTGAAACAGTCATAACATTAGTATCGTTTATTAAAAGTGGTTCAATTTCATGCTGCATCCATGGCAGATCTAAATTAGGAATTCGTGGAATAATGATCTCAAGTACCTTTGCAAACACATCAGCAGTTCTTTTAAACCCCAAGGCCAGCACAGATGTTAGTCCAAGCACTGGGGCTAATGTTACGCTGAGACGTGGAACTTGCCCAGCTGGGATAGCTCGACTTGCACTGAGTGGAATCAGATGAGATGTTAGCAAGGCAGGTTTGGCAGATTTACATACCAGTACAAGACACAATTCGTTTTTTTCTAAAGCTCTAGTTACTTCATTGATCCCAATAGCAAGCTGGTTCCTGATTTGCACATCGGACCACCCACATGCTTTTGGGTCATCAGTCTCTTTGTCTTCGTGAAATTTGCTCGGAAGATTGCAACGCTCTTCCTCTTTTTGCCTTTTTCTGGAGGTGCTTTTCATTCTCTTCCGATCCTCTATCTTTTTAAATCCAATCTGTTTCATGACTTCTTCCAAGGCCTGCAAGACAAAATGCATATCCTCTCCTGGCAGTGTACACCATTGTGGAATATATGGGTTGTTTAAAGATGTTTTCACAATTTGTTTGGATTTACGGGCTGATCCTTTTCCCCGCAGAACAGACATTTTGGTGTGCTTACACTTTGGAACTCAAGCTGAAATGAACACAAGAGAAAAGGTTTTAAGTATTTTGCTTAAAATGTAGCACTAATTAAAAAGAATGAAATGTCCCATTCGCTTTTCTTATATTGACTTTATTCTATGCCAGTGGTGGCGAACCTATGGCACGGGTGCCAGAGGCGGCACTCAGAGCCCTCTCTGTGGGCACGCATGCTGTCTCCCCAGCCCTAGGCCTTCAGCTGGGTTTTATAAAACCTTTTCGCTTTAGGCCTCCGCCGCAGTGTACAAAAAAAAAAGGTAATCAATCAATCAATTTCAACTTCTCACAGGAAAAAAAAGATCTTGCAAAGTTGGAATTGATTGAACTTTTTAGTCCTACCCAGTCTGCCATTACCACCGCAGCCACGCCCACCCAATAGGCCACACCCAGCCAATGGGCCACACCCACCTGGCACCCAATGATGCATAAGTGGGTTTTGGGTTGCAGTTTGGGCATTTGGTCTCTAAAAGGTTCGCCATCACTGTTCTATGCTATTAAAAGAATCTGAAGCTGTAATTTTACAGCTGAAAAATCTTTATTCCTGCATTATTGGGAAAAAAGCTACACCCAAGTAGCTACAGTACTGTTAATGATTTGTCTACAATAATAAAAAAGCCAGAGTTCAATCAATGTAGAATTTTGTACATTGGGGCACAAATAACTAAATTACCATATTCTGAATGCATTGTGCAAAAACTATCTCTCCTGAAAAGTCTGGAAGATGGATGAAAAAGACGAGGCAAGACAGAAGCAGGATGGATGGATGGATTTGGTTACATCAATAATGGGAGCACTACTCGACCTGAACGACCAGGCTGGGAATAGATCATGCTGGATGTCTAACAGTGTTATTACTGAAATGATACAAACTTGATGACACATCAACTAATCAACAGAAACCCAGCAGGGACTGGAAGGGATGGAGCATCACGAACCAATAGATTCCCAAACTCTTTTTTGCTCACAATATGGGGAAACAACTAGACTATCCCAGAAATGGAGGAACTTTTCTGTCCCATTGATGTTAATTGAAGGAAAAAGTAGGTAAAAATAAAATAAAAAAGATAGAAATGTTGATCTAGGCTTGTACAAACCAACAGGGTTTAGGAAGTGGTAACGTCTGCCAAATATTGTCATATCCTTCCCCTATTGCAAGACAATTCATGCTATTACTTGCCAGCAACCAAAATATGTATGTGTTCCAACTATATACACTGTACACACATAAAAGAATGATAAAGAATAGGAAACAACAGCTAGGAAGTATTTCTGAACAAACATCCCTTATTGGTTACAAAATGGTTGTGTCCTCATGATACATGCATTCATAACCTAATAAGTTTAGGTTCTCACAATATTAATTATCCAAATGGCCTGTATTTATACAATACACTAAGCTAAAATAGGCTTGGCTAAGTTGTTATCCTCCCTTGAAAAATATATAAGGCTGGAAAAGGAACATGAACTCAGAGAAATGAAGGGTGACTTATTGGAAGAAGTAAAGGGAGAGATGTGCTGGAGCTGGCTCATGAAAGTCAATTTTAAATTTTGTAGAAACTGCTCAGCCAGTTGTTAGCAGAGCTGAGCCACAATACCCAGCATGCCAATCAGCTGTTCAGAGACTAGCAGCACAGAGAAATGGACTGGAACTGGCAGAACTGACTGCCAAACATCTACTAGTATACCACAATATAAAGAGCCAAGTTGAAAACTGATCATCTTGGAAGTTTATCTATGTGGTTCCAGGAGCTGATATAAATTTGAGGACCCATCATCAAGTTTCTTATCCAGTATGTCATGCAAAATAGCCAATTTGTAGCTTTCTGTGATAGATAAGAGCATTGAAATCAACCTTTACACATGGATACACTCATGCTTCCTTGGCAAAAATATGGAAATAACGTCTTTGACCCTTTTACTATTCCCAGATTCCCACCCAGCCCCATTTCCCAGTTCACTTTAAGTTCCTGCTGTTCTTTCCTCCACTTTCCAATCAGGTCTGCTATTGCTTAACAAGGTCAAACAGCTGCTACTATTCGCCATTTAAATGCTTCTAACTACCCACTGAAAATAAAAGTTCTGTTCTATTTCCAGAATATTTCAGAACACTTTTCTCTGCTAAACGCTTTAAACAGCTGACAGGCAATAAAAGAATGATACAGAATCCCAGCACAATAAAGCAAATAGAGCAACTTCAGGTTGTACACAGAAATGCAAGTTTCGAAACCAGCCACTGATACAAATTGAAAGAAAGAAACGCTCCTTAAACTGCAGTAGTAGAAATAACAATAGAGAAGGAAAACATAAGCGGGTTTTTTTTTCTTAAAGAGAGCTTGTTGCATGGAGCTCTTCCATCCGATTTAAAGAGAATTCTGGGTTTGCTATCAATGAAGCAGGTAAAAGACAACGCTGCTTACTCCTGCCAACAGCTTCACTTCAGGGAGGGGCTGCTGTCTCGAACCCACGGGAGGCTCCAAGGCTCCCCAGACTGTTGGCTACACGCCACCCGCTTTCCCTCCGAACTCCAGCGACCTGATCAATTTCTCTCCCTCCACCGATGGAAGCGCAGCGGCGATCATGCAGAAGCAATGCCCGGTCACAAGGGAATCGTACCCACGCCGTGTTCAGCACAGCAGGAAGCGGAAGAGGCCGGTTGCTCGCCAAGATAGGCCCACGCTCGCCTCGACAGCGCCTCTTCGCGTCTGGGAGGACTCTAGACAGAAAGGAAGAGCGCGCAACCAATCAACTCCAGATTGCTGTGAACAGCCCTATCTTTCTGCATTCACGTTCTCTTGAGCGCCCCCTAATGGCCATGCCCGCAGAATTGCCTGAATTACAACGACATTGGAAAAGCCGGACTCTTTTAAATAAAAATAATGTTGCTAATAGTGCAAAAAAAGAAAAAAAAAAAAAGAATGATGCCAGACACAGTACAAAGTAAAAACAATAAATAAGAAGCCATCGAGACATTATAACTCTTACAAGGTTTTATTAGCTCTTAACACTTTATTTATCTGTAGCGGTAGAATAACTCAAAACTTTTCTCCTTGCCAGCCCAAACAGTGAAATTCACCAATCAGGACTAGTGATGCAATTAAGATTAAACTGCAGTTAAGAACCGCAGACAGGTCCCATTTACCAGTGTGTCAATGGGACCAGGAAGAGAGTCTTTTCTGTTATAACGCTTGCCCTGTGGAACATCGTCCCTCAGACCTTGGCTTGACCCTACTAACCTTTGGGAAGGCCCTGTAGACATGGCTATATCACCATGCCTGGGGAGTCTGGCAATGGAGGGGAGTTCTTACAATGGATATGTTGAGCTGTTGCATGATGAATTCTGCTGCTGATAATGATTTTTTAAAAATTATAGTTTTTATATTTTTGTTCATTGATTTTCCATTATTTTTATCTGTTGCGAATTGCCTAGAGTTGCTTGATGAGATGCATGGTCAAACAAATTGAATAAATAATAAGATTTAACAATTCCAATTAATTTAATATAATTCCAGATCTCACACAAAACGTGTCCCACATCAATTCTGAATAAAAATTCACATTTTTGAAATGGAAACAAATGTTTTATTCTATCATTCCTCTAGTCCTGTGAAATGGCAATTTTGGCTAGAAGTTGGTATCAATATTTCACTTTTGCATCTATGACTAGCAAAAGATTGGGTTGGGTGGAAATCTGCATTCTATGCAGCAATTCAAAATACTTTTTTGTAGAAAAATGATTTAGGTCTTCAAGCATCAATACTTTTCAGATTTCAATAATAGAATATTTGATAAATTTTGCTGACCAAGAAATTGGCATTCCAAGCAGTTTTCCCCAATAAGGAAAGAAACAAATAGCAGAATTAGATTCATGATAAATTATCTTATTCTGCCAAAGCCTTCCAAATTGCATGGTTGGTTAGCTTGGCCTTAATTGGTTCTTTTTTGGTTCTTATGTGTTATCAATTTAGTGTTGTCTTTTATTAACAGTCCTTTCCCTGTTTCCAACCTAGCTCTTCAGGTATCTTAGTTGTGCACCCACCAATACTACAAGCAAGTCCGTCCACCTTGCTACTGATCATCCCTTTTTCTCTTTCCTTCCACCTTTCTTAGCGTTATAGAGTTGCATCTTTTCAAAATGTGTCCAGAATACAACTTGCACCTACCCAGCTGTGCCTTGAATGAAAATCTGGACAGATTAGTTCCATTATCTACTTGCTTATTTTCTTGGTTTCCCAAAACTAAACAGCAAAAGCATCAATTTCATGCTTCTTTGAAGTTCAATATTCACATGCCACACATTCATTTCACAGAGAAAACTGTCGCTTGAATGATTCTAAGTACAAACATATTCCAACATCTGAACATCATTCCCAAGCATTTTATTGCTACATGAGCATCTATTTAGTCTGCAGTCTATTTCTTGGTCCCTTTAACATTGACGTTAATCCTAAAAGGCAGAAGTATCCACCCCTTCAATATCTTTAGTATGAGTTCTAGAATTGGTGACTGTACTGTATCTGCTACCTTTAGTTTGGTCTTTTTATTTAATAATCCCATTTTTTCAGTCCTTAATTTTCATTACTAGAGTTCTGAGATAATTTCCATTTTCAGTTATAATAATGTCATAAGCACGACATATTTTTCTTTTTGTAGTTTTACATCTACACTCATCTTCTTCCAATCCAAACCTTTTCACTATATAATCTCATATAGGCCGAATAAATATTGGGAGAGTATTTAGCCTTGTCACACTGCTTTACCAATCTGTTTTTTCATCTTGTGGCTCTCTCCTGTATATAGATTTCAATTGAAGATAATGAGATATCCAGGGGTTGCAATTTCCCAAGCACAACTAAAGCTCTTTCTATAATCAATTGGTTGCAAATTTACTTTCTCATCACCATTATAACTGTGAATAGATGCTGTAAACAAGGCAGTTCCTAGATGAGAAAATCTATAGTGTTTTCTGACTTGAACTGGCTTAAGCAGTGTTGCCTTGCCTCCTGCTATTTTAATGTAGGCAACTTCATTCCAATAGGACCAATTACTACTATTGTGGAAATAATGTCTGCTCTCCTGGTCACTAAAAGCTACTTTTTATTTTTTTTCATTTCACCATGTGACATTGGGAAGAGTTCTGTCACTTTTAACCCAGAAAAAAAGTGTCAAACTGTATTTCTGCCCCCTCTTTTAATTGGTTTGGGAAGGGTAAAGAAACAGAGGAATCTACAACTCAGAGGTTGTAATGAACATCAAGCCATCATCATGGCCAAAACACAAATGAGTTTAATCCCATGAAAGTCATTCTTTTTTAAAAAAAAATATTTTATTAGATTTTATAAAGGTAAGGAAAGGGTATGCCTTTCTGTGGTATGGGAAAAATAAAATACACAGATATTTCCAAAACCATGCTATAAGGAATGTACTGCTTTTAGAATGGGAGAGAATAAAACAAAAAATGTATACCAAAATACCAGAGTGGCTCTCAACAATGGAAACTTTTGCTTACCCAAATTTAATTAATTACGACAAACTCGTTACTTATAAAGACATTTTGGATAAGGATGGAAAACTTAAAGACAGGCAAGATCTACAACAACAAGGTATCTATTTATCATGGTGGCCTTACTTACAAATTCAAACAAGATACAAGAAAGATTTAAAGGCACCGGGATTTTATAAAAAACAGATAGAATTTGAAAAATTCTCTTGAAAACAGATGAAAATCTGATCAAGAAACTTTATAGATTTCTGCTAAAATGGAAGATGGAAGAAGAACAAGTAAAAGAGACAATGATAGTTTGGGCAAAAAACTTTGGATATTCTATAGACTTAGAACCTTGGCAAAAGTTATGGGATAGAAATATTAAATTGACTAAAGCAGCTTCCTATAAAGAAAACCTGTATAAAATGTTTTATATATTTATTTATTTATTTATTTATTTAATTTAATTTATATGCCGCCCTTCTCCCGACGGGACTCAGGGCGGCGTACAACATACTTAAAACCAAAACATATATACAATCCCCCCCTTAAAACCGAATTAAACCAAATTTAGAGTTGCGTCTTCCAAATTCCTAAAAAACCCAGTATAAAATCCACCCTAGGTCAGGTCCGCTTGCTGAAAGAGCCATGTCTTGAGGGCGCGACGGAAGGTAAGGAGATCCGGAATTATCCGAATCTCGGGGGGT